ACAGATTTGGAGTCGATTTGGTGAAATTGACATACTCGCATAACAGAAATCAATCCAGGTATCGGTCCAATTATTTTGTTCACTGCTAGTTTGTTCGCATTAAGTATCATCAGATAAGATCCGAATAGTTTCTGTAGTCAAATTTTTCAGCGAACGTATCTATTATGGTCACATATGTGTCTAATGCAATAACATTGTGCAGAGTAATATAAACGACATGTATGATATATGACTGAATTAAGTGTAACCAGTGTTAGACAAGCATACCATCGATTATTGTTATCTGTGACCTCTACAAAGATGCGATAGATTGTAACATCAAACATAGGATGCCAGTAGCATATGTGACCTTTGTGATGTGTGCTGAAAGATAAAGAAATAGAGGATTCATTGTTGATGATTAAATGTGACCTATGTGTAAAAAATGTGACCTGCATTTGTTTTCGATTATCTGTAAGAAATGTTAGACTGACATTGATCGCACTCGTGTGTGAGCTATTTCGAGATTTGACCAAAATGTGACCACCCGACACAATAGTATCCATACGCATATGTGACATATGTGAACATGTAATCGAATTGGAAGAAGCACCGAAACCAATGTTGTTCATGAAATGTGACCCGTGTGTCGCCCAATGTGATCTGCTTTTTAAAATGTCATGTGTGACTTCACGTTATTGCAGAAATTTTTACATAAAACTGTATGCATTTTATTAAGTTAACCACCGAGACTATGAAGATTTGAATTTCAATTTTGCAGAAATGATGTACGTGCACATATGTTTGTTGCATGGATCTCAATCAGCATTGGCGTTGGTAGACAATGGCTGCAATTATGTAAACCTTGTTGGCACGATTATGTCAGAGTTCAGGTTGGATCCAATGAAGGTAGCAGTATGATTGAAGTATGTACTGAACGATGATTTACCTGCAATCAGGATAAATAATGACAGCAACCTGTTTGCATACATTCTGCTAAAGGAAGCCGATCGTAATCCTACTAAATATCCATTAATCATTAACATTATCGATGCAGCAATATAGTACCCATCTGACACTGTCGCAGATACTGCTTATCGCAATGGAGAGCTTTATACATTACAGGATGCGGGATTAGAAATATGCAAAGTATCAAGTGAACATGTAGGTCACATTTTTTACAATGAAGTCACGATTATTTCTGTAGCAGATGCTAGTGAGGTCGAAGAAGGAAGGGTTTTCCGTGATAATAATATTTTAAAATTGAGCCTACCCATTTTTGCCATACGAAATATGTTTGAGTTTATGGTTGAACGGTCTGACAAGAAAGAATATGTTGTGATGCGTTTTTAGGAAGGATGTTCTTGAATATGCAGATCGTCAAAATGGGGTAAACGAATTTATTTAAGATTCGAAAGATTGGTCGTCACTCGTGTGCATCAAATGTAGTGTTGAGGTCACACAGACAAGTATCCGCTGCAGTTGTTTCATCTAGCATCAAGTATAAGTACACATCGGCTAGCACCATATACACACTAAAGGACATGTAGTGACATGTTACATACTTTTGGAGTATATTTGCATTACTCAGAAGCTTGGAGATCCGTGAACAAACCTTGAAGATGATTAGGTGTGATCTAACGGAATCATTCGGTAGGATACCAAGCTTCTTCTACATGCTGCGACAAAGAAATCCTAGTACAGTCATAGAGTTGGAGGTCGATAGTCACAATAGGTTCAAGTATTGTTTTATGGAACTCAGTGCATAATACGTGGGTGGCAACATTGTAGGCCTATAATTGTCGTCGATGGTACTTACTTGAATGGTCGTTATGGGGGTACCCTATTCACAGCATATATAGAAGATGCAAATAATGGCATATTTGTTCTTGCTTTTGGAGTGGGAGATAATGAGAACGACAAATCTTGGAGATG